CTGTGGTCATGGATTGGAAGACTCACTCTAGCCCAGATATCTGTATTTCTTCACTTGATAGACCAACACAGTCTTAATCAAAATCCTATCAATGGGGCCAGCGCTGTGGTGTAGGTAGCGGGTGCCGGCATTCCATATAGGCGCTGCTTCGAGTCTCAGCTGCTCCTCTTCCAATCTAGCTCTCTACTATGGCGTGGGAAAGCAGTAGAAGATGGCCCAAGTGCTTGGGCCCCTGTCATCCGTATGGAGAATCGGATGAAGTTCGGGGCTCCTGGCTTCGGATCAGCACAGTTCCAGCTGTTGTGGGCAATTGGGGAGTGAACCAGCAGATGGAAGACCTCTCTCTCTCTCTCTCTCTCTCTGTCTCTCTCTCTCTCTCTCTCTCTCTGTCTCTCTCTCTCTCTCTCTGCCTCTCATTCTATGTGTAACTCTTTGAAATAAATCTTTAAAAAAACATCCTATCAAGATGTTTTCCAATTACCAAACTGATTTTAAAATGTATGTGGGGATGAAGATACCCCGAAGATCCCACCGCCCATAATTGAAGATGAACACACTGGAGGACGGATGTGTCACAGCTGCCCTAACTTATGAGACAGCCAATCATGGCAATGTGGGACTGGTGAGAGTCAGAATGGTAACCCCGGAAGAGACCTTCACGAATACAGTTATCAGATCTTTGACAAGAAAGCAAACTGATACAATGGAAGAAGTCTTCTTAAGAAAGAGCACCAGGTTTGTGAAATCTCCATTCCAGGAGAGGGCAAAGGACTGTCACCAAAGGCAGGTGGCTTTCAATGGAGACGGATGCCTGCAGGTCACCCTGCACATGGCTGGCCAGGGGAGGATGGTTCGAGGCCATAGGCACCAGGAAAGTCTCTAGGTGTGCGTTCCCATTAGTAACAGTGTTTAGGGCTTGCGCCTGGACAGGTGGACTGCCTGCACATCTCTGAGTACACTGCGGTCCACCCAGGAAGCCAGGGCAGAGCAGGGAGCACAGCACAGGCTTGACCTGGACAGGGGCCTTCCCATCACTTTGCCTGCCCTGTAGCAACCTTGCCTGCAAGCTCATCATCGGGCTCACATCTTCCCCCAGATAAGGAGCAGAAGAAGCAGGTGAAGAGTCCAAAATATGGCCTTATGGTTCCCAGGAACAAGAGGACCAGCCCTGAGCACTGGAGAACAGGAGCAGGCTCAGGACTGGCTCATGGCTGTGGCTCTCCAGCCTGGAGAGATGACTCATCAGCACAGTAGCCAATTGTCACACTCTATCTCATCAGATTCTGGCCTCAGCATGATTCTGCAAAAAGCACCCTGTGGGAACCAGTGATTCTGAGCCCTTGGGGTCCTGCCACTGACACAGCCATGGCTCATTCAAGAACAGAGTACAGAGTGGTCAACTCCAAACCAGACACAACACCTAGAGAATCCTGGGCCTTCCAGATCCAGGAGAAAATGGTTATGGCCTAACCTGCCCCATTGGGATGACCCAGGTGGCTTCTGATGAACAGGGCCTAGTTGCCTTTTGGAGGTTGTGTGGGTTGAGGAAGGGGCTACAAGTGTTGCAACCCTTGGAGAACTGGGATGCTATCTCTGCCCAAGGCAGGGTTCCAGACTCCTTCCCTGTGGAGGCTCCAGGCCAGGAGCCTCTGAGCCAGGAGTCTCTTCTCCCAACATCAGGGTCACATTCTCCATGCTAATGACCCCTAGTGACAGCATGACCTGGAGAAGCTGAACCCACTGTGACAGCAGCCCAGGAGGCCTGAGCTGCCAGAGGGCATGTGGGCATCTGGCCAGCCAGGTGTGCCACCAGGACCGCCTGGACATTCTGGGGCTGCCTCCACCCACTGGCATCCTGGTCTGTGGTCAGAAGTGCCCTGGGGTCCTCTCGCGGGCTCAGGCCATGAGATGCTGGATTGTGAGATGGGGCAGGGAGGATGGAAGGCAAAGAGGGAAGAAGAGTGGGAACCTGGTGCCCACACACCCAGGACAGTGCACAGAGGCGATCATGGGCCTGGTCCCTTGGCTGGGCCCACACTCCTGAACTGTCCCAAAGGCCACATGTACCCAGCCACTGCTGCTCCTCCAGTCCTCCCCTGGTCCACGCTGGGCACAGGGCAATCTCAGGAAGTGATGGAGCACCGTGAGCCAGGTCTCTGATTGCATCTGGAGGCTGTGGCACCCCCAGCCTCTTGCAAGGGACTCAGGGACCCTGTGTGGCAGCTCGGCTCCAGGGGTCACAACATCAAAGGCATTCTGAAACCATTTAATACAGAATCAACAAGGGGCAGAAGTTCCAGGGTTCCCTCACAAAGGCGGGAGGGGTATGTGGCAGCCCACAGGTGCCTGGGTTCGTGTCCTACATCATCTCCTGCTCTGAGGGTGCCCATAGCAACTGTGGCAGTGGGCTGGTTCCTTGGCCGAGATGAGCCCGGGTGAGGCCACTCAGGGAGGGGAGAGGAGCTCCAGAGAGGAGCCTTGTCAGTCGGCAGGCCGCTGGGCATAGAGAAGCTAGATGCTGGCCGAGATGAGCTAGGGTGAGGCCGCTCAGGGAGGGGGAGAGGAGGTCCAGAGAGGAGCCTTGACCATCAGGGAGGCCACCAGGCACAGAGAAGCTAGATTCTGGCCAAGCTGAGGCCTCAGGTAGGGGGGAGAGGAACTCCAGAGAGGAGCCTTGTCAATCAGGTAGGCCGCTGGGCATAGAGAAGCTAGATTCTGGCCGAGTTGAGCTAGGGTGAGCTCAGGGAGTGGGAAAGGAGCTCCAGAGAGGAGCCTTGTCAATCAGGGAGGATGCCGGGCAAAGAGAAGCTAGATGCTGGCCGAGTTGAGCTAGGGTGAGGCAGCTCAGGGAGGGAGAGAGGAGCTCCAGAGAGGAGCCTTGACCATCAGGGAGGCCGGCGAGCATAGAGAAGCTAGCCTCCTTGGCCGAGATGAGCATGGGTGAGGCTTCAGGATGGGGGAGAGGAGCTCCAGAGAGGAGCCTTATCCATCGGGGTGGCCGCTGTGTTTAGACAGGCTAAGCTTCTGGCCCGTCTGAGCTGGACACCTGGTGGGCTCTTCTTCCCCTCTGGGTGCCCACACACATCCAGCTGCTCCATGGAATGGGCAGCAAGGAGGCCTCGAGCCAGGGCGGGGACACGGGCCTGGTCTCCCAGCACAGGGCTGGCTCCTGCAGGCTGCAGCCCGTGAGTGTCCCCAGAGTGCATGGGGCTCCCATGCAGGGAGGGTGTCTTCAGCCCTGCTCCCAGGGCTGGCACAGCCTGCATGGGCCTGGGATCCAGGGGCTCTGAGGCAGGTGAGGGAGGGGCCCTGAGACCCTGCTGGCCACCCAGCTCCAGGGGCCAGAAATCAGTGCCTTTGACAGGCGGACTGAGATTTGGGAGGCCCGCCCATCGGGACAGGTCTCCCCTGCTCTGCAAGCTCTGTGGGGCCAAGAGGCCCGGGCCACGTAGAGACTCTGAGGACTTCACAGACAGGGCTGGGGACGAGGGCTCTGGGGAGGCACCCTCTTCACAGCCTCCCTCCTCGTCCTCTTCAAAATTGTCTCGGGCAGGACGAATCTCAGGTCCCGCAACAGCTTTGGCCAGGGAGACGCAGGACACTCAGCAGGCCGGTCTTCTTCCTCTTCCTCCTCCTCTTCGTCCTCTTCCTGCTGCTCCAGGCCGCTGTAGTACTCCTCGTTGTCAGAGTGGGAGTCGTCATCTTGGAAGGTCACGTTGAGTTTGGTCAGGGAAGTCCAGCGCCGGAGGGGGCCTGGCTCGTCCAGCCAGGAGCACTGTGGGCCCGAGAGGTGGGCGGCGCCCCCTGACCCTGAGGCCCCCGTGGAGGAGCCCGGGCCGCGGGGCTGGGTGCCGCTCTCGCCACGACTGCCCTTCTCCTCCTTGGCGTGTTGCTTGGAGTCGGGCTGGACGGCAGATCCGAGAGGACCGGTCTCCCCGGGGACAGAAGCTGAAGCCCCCGCTGGCTCCTGGGGAGCTGCAGCCTCAGGGTGACAGCCTTTGCGCTCAACGATGGTCTTGAGGGACACTGGTGGGGGAGCGTGCTCCTGAGAGCCAGGCGGCACCAGCAGGGCCGGGCTGCCATCTTCGGTTGGCTTTTCTGGAAAAAGAAGAGATGGGTTTTGTTTCTCCACGGCCACTATCTGGCCTGCAGGGTGCCTGCCCTGACCTGACCCTTGGGGTCCCCATCACTCGGTGTGATGCTCAGGACACCTCCAGCCTGCTGGCCGCAGAAGGAATGGGTCATGCAGCCTGGGCCATGGGAATGACAGGGACACCTCAGAACTGCTGAGCCCGGGGAGGACAAGGAGGACTAGGAAGAGGGGAGGCCCTGGGCAGGGCTGCCAGGGCCTGGGTCTCCCACTGCTTACTCCCCCAAGGGAGCATGGGACGGGGCCGTGTGCTGGACTCACCTTCGGGAGGCAGGAGGCACTGGAGCTTCCCCAGCTCACGCATGGAGGCCCGCAGCTGCCTGATGACCGCATCCTCGCTCAGTGACCAGGCCTGCTTCAGGGTCACCTGCAGGAACTCCCGGATGTGGTCTCTGGACATCTTCAGCAGGCGCTCTAGACATGGGGGTGGGCATCAGGCTAGGAGGAGCCCTAGGGATGGCGCAGCCACCATGGCTGCTCCAACCCTTGTTCCTGCTGCAACCCCTGACCCTGGCCCTGTCCCCCACTTGCTGGCCCTGAGGCTCAGCCTCAGCTTGGACCACCCTCAGCAGGACAGGGCCTGCCTGGTCTGCACAGCAGGCTCCTTCCTGTGTCTGCTGGGCCTGGGGAAGCTCAGCCCTGCTCAGAGTCACAGGACACAAGAGAGCCAGGCAGTGGGGAAGAAGCACATGCAGGAACTCCTGGATGTGGTCCCAGGGCATCTTCAACAAGGGCTCTAGACGTGGGGGTGGGTGTCAGGCTGGGAGGCACCATTTTTTGGGGTTGGGGATGAAACGGGATTCGCAATGCCCCCTAAGCTGGCCAAGAACTCAGAAAACTCATCCCTCCCCTAGGTTCTGCTCACCCGGGCCAAGCATGGGACCCCCCCAACTCCTCCATCCCCAGCACCCAGGCCTCTGTGGGCCCTGAGGACTTACTTCGGTGGACCTTGAGGACGGTGTACACCATGCCGGTGAGTACATGTGCGCCCTCAAGGATGTAAATATCCCACATCCGAAGTGCCAGGGGGAACGGCACCTGCGGGACAGAGGCATTGGAGGACCCCGCGCGTCAGGGCCTCAGCAGGGCCCACCGTGGGTGGGTGTGCAGTGTCATAGGGCATCCTAGCTGTGTCCTAGAAGCCCAGAGAGAAAGAGCACCAAGGCCTATCCAGGACCCTGGGGCCACGCGGACTGCTCTGCACACTTTGGAAGCCACCCTGGAGATGCCAGACAGCCCAGGGACCTGAGGGAGGGGTCAGCCCTTGGGCTGTGCTGAAAGCAGCCTGTGGCACCCAGGGTCTGTGGATCTCCTGCCTCTCACTGTAGGGCAGGCTCTCAGGATGGGTCCTTGTGGGACCTGTCCCCTCCTTGCTGGCCCTGAGGCTCAGCCTCAGCTTGGACCACCCTCAGCAGGACAGGGCCTGCCTGGTCTGTACAGCAGACTCCCTCCTGTGTCTGCTGGGGCTGGGGGAGCTCAGAGTCAGAGGCCACCACGACAGGAGAGCCAGGCACTGGGGCAGGAGCTTCCCTGGGCAAGGGGTCCCCGGGGCACTTACCCCATCCAGGAAGCACTGGATGTACCAGTGTGCGGTGTAGTCCTCAAGGTACACACCCTCCTCCTCCTAAGAAGAGGCAGAGTGGGCTCAGGGCCCAGGGCCCAGGCCTGACTCGCTCTAATCTGAGCCCTGTGGCAGAGCCCCTGGGTGCAGGAAGCCCAAGAGCAGGTGCATCCCCTCTCCCAGCCATGCAGATTCCTGAAGGGACACAGGTCCCTCAGTCCACTCTGCCCTGGGGACAGCATCTCCCTGCAATCTACACAAACTCTGGGGGACCAAGTGCTGGAAATCAAACCAGCACCCAAGCTGCCGCGGCCCCCAGTAACCAAGAAAAGCCTTGGTGAGGACGTAGCCTCCCCTGGCCCAGGAAGCAGTCAGGACCCCTCTCTGTCCTCCCCTCCCTGAGCACAGAGCCCCCGAGGGGAGAAAGGAGATGTTTACTTACCAGGTGTTTCTCCAGGGAGGGCAGCACGCGATGCATGATGTCTCCCAGGTGGTGCTGGAATCGCTCCAGTTTTGGGGAGTCTGGTGTGTAGAAATCTGAGTAATAGCAACCCCCCAGCCCTCATTCAGAGTGTCTTCCCAGGAAGGCTGGAAAGCCAAAGGCTTGGGGCGGGGTCTTGCTGAGCACGGAGGGTCAGGGGAGGCTCTAACAGGCAGGGGAGCATCAGGGGAAGGGGGGTACAGCTGACAGCCCAGGGCAGGTTGCACTCACACTGGGTGCCTCAGGGCCATCTGGACACTCAGGGTGAGGAGGGGCCACCCTAGAATGGATGCTCCTTCTGCAAGGGTGTGTCTCAGTGGGTGGGAGTCTGAGTAGAGATGTGAAGCAGTCACACCAGTAGGGACCTAAGGGTCATTTGTCAAAGACAAGGCACAGGACCTTTGTGTGATGGGAAGTGAGGGGTATGGCTTGGTATTGGGCCCTCTGCCGGCCCTGGCTCCTAAGGAACCATCCCGAGGGAGACTCCCCTATGCACGCAGCAGCCAGCGAGGGACAATGTCCCAGTCACTTGTCTGCATGCCCATCCCTGCACTTGCAGGACCACGCCCACCACACCCATCACCCACCATGCATCGCGTGCTGGCTGTCCTCCATGAGCTGGACTAGGGCCCAGAAAGCATCCTCTTCACTCAGCCACATCAGCAGCAGGGCTGCCACATGGCTGAGGCCCTGGCTGTAGCCCAGTTCCTGGAAGAACACAAAACACATCAGAGGGACCTCCCTGGCTGGGATGATCTCAAGTGGCAAGGGTGACCTCTCCTGGGAGGGCTGAGCATTACCACCAGGCCCCACTGCTGCCCCTTGGGTGTCAGGATCTCAGGGACTGGAGCACACGCCGGCTCTCAAAGATCCTGCAGAGAATCCTGCAGGGTCTGAGCACAGGCTGCGCAGGGTTAAGAAGAGGTATGAGCCCCACCCCAGATGTCAGGAAGGGGAAGACTGTTGTGGGAGTGCAGACTGCACACCCGTGACGGCCTCTGGAGCTCTCTGCTGCACAGGTGCCCTGCTGGGCCCCACTGCAGACGTGAGGAAGAAGCACCATAGTAAGGCCTCCCTGGGCCAGAACAGAGCCCAGCCCAGGAGAAGGCTTCCGTTCTGCCCCAGAACTTGAGGTTGGGGCCAAGGAGGCCATGAGTTTGAAGTCTACCCCTCAGTCTCTGCCTTGTGGATTAGAGAGGCCCCCTCAACCCAGGCTAGGATCTCTGTGACCAGGGGCGCCCTGCATGGACAGCTCTGGATATGACCTTGGAATGTTATCGTAGAATACTCACGGGGTTGTACATTGAGTATGCGAGGAGCACCTCAAATAAGGAGCGTTGTCTGGAAGAGAGAGGACAGAGGCTGTGCGTCCTGTGCTACCGAGGCTCTCCGTGTGGCTCTGCCTAACAGAGCCTGACAGCCACACGCAGGGCCCGTGACACTCTGCTCATGAGCAGTGACGTCGCCAGGGCACCTGCGTGTGGTCCACCGTGTGGGTGAGCGCTGCCTGCAGGGACACACACACTTCACAGGGTGCAGTCACGTGCAGTTTCGTTTCCCCAGGTGGGTGTTCGTTGCACAGGTGAGCGTCCCACTGTGGGAGGTGCAGTCCCGTGGGTCTAAGCCATGGAGAGTCAGCCTCCCATGCACGTTCAGCCTGGTAGGGAGCAGCTCCTGTGGCCTATGTGTTCCCCATGAGCCCCTGTGGCCAAACTCCCCACCTCCCCCAGCCCGTGGCCACCACTGCCCTGTTGTGTGTCCCAGAGTTTGGCCTCTTGCAGACGTCCTGTGAGTGGATCACAGCACGTGTAGCCTTTGAGGGACGCGTCCTCTCTTAGCAGGATGCACCTGAGATGCATCCAGGTGAGCCCAGGGCTGAGCCTCGTCCAGCCTCTCACTGAATCCCGTTCTCGGATTCAGCTGTGACATGGGTTGCTTATCCATTCCCCACTGAGCATCGTGCAGGCTACGCCTGCGTCCAGTGACTGTGAACATAACCCTGAATCTTGTGTGAGGGTTTTATGCACTCAGCTGTTCTGGTGGTTGTGTGAATGTGCGTGTGTGCTGGGGGTTCGTGTGGAAGGTATGTGTCTCTCATTGTGAGAAACGGCCCTGGGTGCTGCCGGGGGCCTGGGCACTGTGCTCTGTTCCTGCAGTGAACCAGAGTGGGGCTCGCCTCACGTTCTCCCCAGCACCCGGCGTCCTCGGTGGTCTAAGTTCCCCCATTCTCACAGCTGTGCGCTGGTGCCCCGTTGTGGTTTAGGTGCTAAGCGTACGTTCACGCGTTGAGTAGGAGAGTTGTGTGTGCAGTCACGAACGGGCCCTCCTGAGCCTTGGCCCATGTCAGGGCAGGGAACCCTCATTTGCTTTCTTATTATTGAGATTTATAACTTCATTTTCTGTATTTTGTAAATACTGTCTCCCCTTGTGTTCCTTTTCATTTCATTCCCACCAAAGTGTCTTTGGGAAAGCGAACTGTTCAGTATAAATAGAAGGCCATGGATCCATTTTTTTCTGTCCTAGAGGAATTATGCTTTAGGTGTGAGCCCACGTCTCTCCTAGGACCCCATGTGTCCCAGGACCCTTGCACCTCCCTCCCCCGGGCCCCTCGAGCCCAGAGGCCTCACTTGGCTCCGTATCGCTCTCGAAACATGATGTGACTTCTGAACGTGCGTGCTACCTCTTCATCGATCTGTTGGACTTGATCTGAGCACAACCTGGCCCGTTCCTTCATCTCCTGCAGGGCAGGGCCGAGGGGGAGGGGCCGGCCTCAGGACGAGCCAACCCCCACTGCCACACAAGCACCCCAAAGCCACAGCAGCCCTTCTGGTTGGCAGGGAGAGTTTTTCTGGGGGCAGCTCATTCCCCTGATCCAGGGAGGGTCATGGGTTCCCCACTCACCTTAGGGCCCACGCCACCCCCAGTGTCCAGCAGAGGGGGCCACTGCGGACCCACTACAGTCAGCCTGAGGCCAGGGGCTCTGCCAATGTCCTGTGCTACCTCTGCCTTCCCAGAGCAGCAGAGACCCAATCAGGCCTCCGAGCCTCCTCACTGGGCTCTCAGGCCCCACAGGACAGGAGTCAGCCTCACCCTGACCAGCCTTCAGGGCTGCCCCCTGCAGGAGAGCCCCAGCTCCATCAAGAGAGTGGACACCATTCTTGGACTTGGAGCTGGCCCCAGAGGCAGCCCCCACTTGAAGACTTGGGGGAGGGCGGGACTGGCAGCTCAGTTGCTCCTTGCTCCCTGATGTCAGCCAGGGAGATGACAGTCAGCCCCAGGCCAGCCCTCTGATGGATCAGCCCGCATTCCCAGAAGCGGTTGAGAGCTGACTCTGACTGATGGAACCAGCAGGCCAGGTCGGGGCTGGGTGAGCTGAGGCCAGGCCAGGCATGAGAAGGCCCAGGTGAGGGCAGGGGCCGGCGAGCATAAGAAACGCACAAGCAGGGTCAGGTGTGGGGAGGGCCATTTAGAACAGAGCCAGCTGAGGGCCTTAGCACACAGGACTTCCACCTCATTCCAGGCCGTCTCTATCCATTCAGGACCCAGCATAATGGCACTGGGCAGTCCTGGGCCTAGAGCAAAGGCAGGACCACAGGGATGAGGGCTGTGGCCCTGACGGGATCCTTGTGTCCAGGCCCATTTGTGTGGGGGAGACATGGAGGAGGCCTCTGGAGAGACGTGGATGAGGCAGAGGGGAGGGCCGGGTGGGGGCCCCAAGCAAATGACCACTCCTCCTTGGCATTACTTGTCCACCACGCGGAGCCTCGGGCTCCTGACCAGGCCCAGAGCGGGTCGGGCTGCCTCAGGTTGCACACAGAGCCATACCTCGAATTTGCCAGGGTTCTGGGCCTTCCTGGTATCCACGGAGAGCATCATGGCCCACACCTTGCCGCGCACCTGGGCGGGGATGCCTTTCTCAATTCTCCGGTGG